GGCAGTTAACATGTGCAATGTTATTATATCTCCCTCTGATGACTTCTGACCTCTTCCTATATGAAAAGAACCACATGTGGTACAATGATACAAATGTACAATTGCTATAAATCCTTAAACCTTTTATCACACACTTTCAGTCAGATTCCACACAAGATTATTAGAGAATATGTGTTCATGCTAGCGTATGTAAAGTATGCCATAATGCAACCTACCATATGCAGAGAGTAGTATGTAAAAGGGTATTAGTGTTATGTTATCAGCATGAACATTGCCATAAACATACGCATAATTCACACAAAACAAAGTAAGTTATGTACAATTTAAACATATAGTGTGTGTGTCACTGAGTACATACTGTATACTTTACAACTCACATATATATTTTTCTCTCTGATTAGTTGGGTTTGTGTGTGTGTCTGACATGCGTCTGACTTACGTAAGTCCAAGGTTTCTACTTCACTGCATCTGCATAATGCCACAGTCTCTCTCTCTCTCTCTCTCTTACACACACACACGTACGTTCATTTATAAGGTTAAGAAGAAAAAATGGTGGGATATGATTAGAACTTGCATTTGGTGTATATCGAATTTGTTTGCAGCCAAGAGGAAGGAGGAAGGGGAAAAAAACAGAGATACTCATCTGCACACTGATAAAGGGAGACAAGGGGAGAAAGAGGGAGACACACACACACACACACGTACAGAGGCATGGATGCTGTAGAGAGAAATAGTGAGAGTCGTAAGGAAGAACCAGGAAAATAGCGGGCTGTGGCTGCTGAACATAAGGTGATGGAAAAAAGAGGGCTCTGGCTTCTGAATACATACTAGTGTGTTAATTTAAGTTTGTGAGCGTCTCTGTGTGTGAGAGTGTGCTTTTGTGTGTGGGCACACACCCGCTCTATCTGCCCAGCGACCCAGAGGAAATGGCGAGGAGCAGAATGCTGTAATGGTTTAGAATCGGAGGCAGACAAATATATAGAAGCAGAACATTACACACCCTAACTGAATGTTAATACTCTGCATATCGGCAGAAATCTGAAACGCTTCACATAAGATTCCATCGGGCTTTGTGCCTTCGCCCGTTTCATTTTCAATATCTTTCCGCCTTAGGGAGATGCACTTTGTTTTACACTGATATGCTTTTTGTCTGCTCGGTCTGTATCTGTGCACAGAAATTCAGCATACTGTGATACTGGTGTGATGCTTGTGTGGTCTTCAATCTCACTGCCTTTCTATTTCTCACTCATGCACACTGGAGTTCAACCAAAGCCCATACTGACATTTTGTGTCTGTATCTGGGATCCATACATACAGTACATATTGTTACTTGCTTAATTTAATGTAAATAGTTTCATTTTCCAAATAAACTTATTTTTATTCAGGAAAACTATTCTTTTCTGTGTAAAAAAAACCCTCCATGGGATCATGGGACATCAAAACACAAAATGATGATCCTCTGTTTCTATCTTATGGTAGTTAAAGACATTTCAGAACACAACAGAGCCTTTGAAGACGGAGAAAATGAAATTGCAGGTTGGCAGACTGTTTTTATGTAACTGTGGTCAGGCAAAAGCATCAGCACATGACCCAGCTGGAAGCATGTGGCCGTGTTACAGATCTGATATTTTATTTAAGGCCACTATTGGTCCATTGAATCATTCAGCCCATATGCCACATACACAAAATGAGAGTAGGTGAGAGAGAGTAAATAAATAACCAGGACTAAAGGACTGTGTTGATTACATCCCTCAGCGTAGAAGTGTTGGACAGACAAACAGACAAACATTATAGGATGTTTGCTGCACCAGTGCTGGAACTAGAACTGCCTTAAAGGAAGCTCCGGAGGACGGACAACAGGGTCATTGAGATTTAAAAGTATAAATATACTCAGTTACAGTGAAATTTGGTAAACAATTTTGACCTATTTATGTGCTAGACAAAAGGTGAAAGGTCCCCAAAGTCATTTTCCTCAAGATCATTAATAACCTTAAGAAAAATGACAATTTGGCCAGTAGTTGTTGAGAAATCTGCTGGAGTGTTGAATGGATCGAACTACTGTAATGACCAACATGTTCATCCTCAGGTAGCTAGTGATGCAAAATCAATCATAGTTTGATGACGAGACTATCTTGTCAAACAATCTGAAACGGACACGTAACTCATTACTGTTTTTGTCATCAAGTCTGATAATAGGCACTCTAGGAAGTGCAATTACTCCAATGAGAGATAACGTATCGATTTAAGAAAGATAAACCAGAGATATTCACAAAAACCCAAAGACGAACACTGCTACATACTAAACAGGTGACACGGAGGTTATCAAGTAATGGTGCATTTTCTATTCTTCGCAGCAGCTCTGTTCTGTTGAACAGGAACTTCCTGTACTATCCTGACAAATGATATAATCTCTGTGACTGACAAACAGTGTCAGTAACATCCCCATCATGCAGAACGTGTCTCGCTGTGTTATTTTTGATGCGTGGTGTGCATGTTTCCTGATGTGTCAGATAAGGTCACTGAGATTTTATGTACATGCATCATTTTGAGGATCCATGTTTACAATTGTGCGTGCGTGCTTAGAGAGCGTTGGTAGGCAGATGATTCTGTTTGGATGCAGGTCAGTTAGGGCACACAGATATATTTGTGGCCGAGGTGGGATTGTCTCATTGCATATCAATGAGCCCCGTGTCACTCCTGTGTGATTACTGCAAGAAATGACAGAAATCAGCCCGTCAGCCCACAGAGACAGACAGACAGAGAAAGAGAGGAGGTGGATAGGGTGATATAGGAGGAGGGATAATTTTAGAAAGACCAAGACTTGATGTTCTCAGATAATCTTGAGCATGTCTGTACTGTACTGTTTTTTCACGTGTATCTGTTTGTGTGTGTCCTTCCTGCTGCCAACGATTCACAGCCGTGATGACCAGCTGAGCCCCACACACACCTCTGCCTCCTTCAACATAATGTCCTCAGGGACACTTAAGACTTCTTGGTAACATGGATGTTTTGTATAAAAATGTGTGTGTATGAGATTGTGTCTTTATGCACACTAGCACATTGTTTTGTATTTTTTAAAAACCTATTTATTACTCTGTTATAAGGCTGCGTGTACAGTACGACAAGTAGAGGTGTCAACATTGCTGTGACTGATGGGACATTTTGTCCCCGAGGTCCCAACAAGACTAAGCTGCAGCGGGAGACCGCACATACACACGCGCACACACACACACACAGACGCACACACACATACACACGCACACGCACACACATACATAACACAAACACACATACATAACACAAACACACA